CCGAGTATTTGTGATCACATCATATTTTGTGATACCTTTCGGTTTTCTTAAGAGTCTGGTTACTGTTGTTTTTATTCAGTGTATCAACTTTTGGATTAATTCCTTTCTGTATGGAAATTGTTGGTGAAACTTTCAGTTGTCTACATTCTGCTCTGCTTTAGCCTCAGTTACAAACTGATGTCATACCATTTTGCTCCAGACTGTATCAGATACACACAGCTAAAATTCCTTCACATATACGTAATGCACAGACCTAAATTCTTATCCAGATTCATGGCAATGTTTCACTATCTATATGTATGTCCACCTAAAGAGACATGGAAAGGACAAGCCCTCTCTCTCAGCTTTGGTGTGGTTTTCTTTTAAATTGGAGGTGGGGTTTACAATGTTTTTGGTTTTAGTCTAAAGGCTGAAAGCTGAGACCACAAGTGTTCCTTATGTGGAATAACAGCTATTCTGTTCTAAATTTGTAGGGAACAAGAAACTGTTTAGCCAGGATTAGGAAATTAATTTTTATAATACCAATGTTTTTACTCTGAAATAGTGTTAAGCTCTTTGTGGTTGGTTTTAGGACACTTAAAGAGTTCTGCTTGGGAGTTTTGGGGAGTAGTTTCGTTGTTGCTTTCCGTATTTCTGATTTGCAAAGTCAAATTACTTTCTCTGAGATCAGAAAGTTACAAATGTTGTCAGTATGGTACATAAGTCATCTAATAATCATGTTGGAGTTTGGTGTCTCTGCATTGCCAGAGTATAGAAAATCATGCCTATAGGCTGGCATGATTGCCATAGTTATTCTGAAAGCTTGCTTTCACATACACTTGGTAAAGCCTAATCATGCTAGCCAAAGAATTGTGAATAATTTCTTACTTGCTGTCAGGGAACAGCTTGATTTTTAGAGCCATGAAGTACTTGCAGCTCACATCAGTGTTGACTTGGTTTTGGTTGCTCAGACCTGAAGCATCAAACTTGTATACTCCAGGTAGAATCAACCAGGTTGGAACAAACCTTTAAGATTATCAAATCCAACTGTTACGCCAGGGTTGCCAAGATCACTACTAAAATGGTTCCATCTGTTTCAGTATTACAATATTAATAACAAAATGTAGCAACATGTTCTTCTTCCTCTGCCTACATAAATTTGATCAGAAGGAAATTGATTTTTATTCCTTTTTATTTACAAAATTAAGAGTGCCCTTACCAAAGAATAAAGAACATCTTTACTAAATGAAGAGCACCTTAATATTTAAGCACTGTATTCACTATTCGAAAAATAAGCCAGGTTTTAGGGAGGGAGGGGGGAAGCGGGGCCATCTGATTGCTGGCCCATTTTACTCACAAAGCCGCCTTCTGAAATTTTCATCCTGTGTGTTTTAAAACAACAGACACAATTTATCTCGGTCACATTGCAGGAGGGCTGTTGGTAGATATTCTAAATACGTTTTATGATTTTATTTTGAACATACTCTGCTTTTGCACAGTGAGATTCCAGGTAGGAGAGTCTGCCATGTTACCTAATCCCGGTTATCATCATACTGAGAAGGCCACCAGTATGACTGTGAGAGGGGTCAGTACAGAATGATGTGCCATTTTCATATACCCATTACTTAAAATGCCTTCTTTGCCTCATTTATTTCCAGGAATCATTCTTTCACTTGCCTTCTTACTGCTTTCCAGGTGTGGATGTGTGGAGGTGGCATGTTTGATGTTCCATGCTCTCGAGTTGGGCATATCTACAGGAAGTATGTCCCATATAAAGTCCCTTCTGGAACGAGCCTAGCACGGGTAAGTAATTTGGTCTTGCTGTTTTTCGTATTCATTCATCATCAGTCTCCTCATTCCCTGTGAAATAGTTTCCAGTAAACCATTAAAATGGAAAATTGAATGTGTTTTTATATTTCTGAAATGAGATGTGCAATTGCTGCAGTTATGCTGCCTTCCAGAGATAAAATTGCCAAGAATAAATGGAAGTTTAAAAATACAGGGCTGGACGTCTCAGCATAGAAGCACGTTTCATGCTGATTCAGAGAGCCTAGGAATGACCTAAGGCTTATGGTTCTTGAATTGCACAGTGTTGCCAGTCATAGTTTTTACAAGCAGGACCAATTTGAATGCACATTTTCTATTGGTTAACAGAACAGGCAGAATGTCACAGAAGAGATGTTTTCTGAGACAAAAGGACTGAGTAACAGTGATTTGAACGATGGTCTAATTATTGTGTAAAGCCTAGTTGTAGAATACAGCCAGCTTGGAGCCTTGTGAGTGAGAAATCACAAGATCTCTAGACATTTCTGAAGGACTCCTGAACATGATGTGCTCAGGATAATGTGCTCAAGAGAAAATGTTCTGTAACTTTCTGGAGATGTTCGCAGGATGTCAAAAGATGAGACAAAGGGCACAGATATCTTCTGGGCAGATACTAGTATTTATTCATGCTTGAGTTTAATCTTTTCTGTATTAAAGGTTTGGGGTATTTTTTTATAAAATGGCATTAATATTAAAGTCTGCATATTGCCATAGGGTAATATTTTATGAATCGTATTTTTTCTTAATAATGAAAATGTGGTATGAATAACAGAATAAATCTCTTGCTTTAAGGGGAAGATATTCTTGGTTTCAGCACCACAGGACAAAGCCTTCTGTAGTAACTGCAGCAGAGGAAAGAAGCTGCCTGTGCTGCCTGCCTGACAGCTGGCTAGATAGAAAGAAGGATTTACCTTAAAAGAACACCAGTGCAGACAGTATGACACACAATACAGTGATGGCATTAGTGGTGGCATTGGTGGTAATGACAGAAACTGTATTGACTAAATTGTGAGATTAAAATCTTCCCCCAGTATAGCTCTGTGTAGTATCAGAGTTTCCCCATCCAGATTTTTGGACTGGGTGAAAGAAATGGCTTCATTTATGATATCCCTTACAAAAAACACACACTACTTGAAATAAGAAATCTAAAACTCAGTCTCTATTTTTCTCTGTTACACACAAAGTATCTCTCTCATATAGAGAATGTCTTGTGCATTATCTGCAGGAGCAAAATACAATCATTTCTATTTGGACTACTTGCATCTCGAGGAGTCCAACACTTAACTAGCTTTCATGGAGGCACTGTGAGTACTTAGAACCATCAGGTAGCCACAGCCTGCAGCCTGCCTGTAGTATTTAATTTAGCTTGATTTCAATAAATCTGTCATGAAATATTACCAAAAACCGTTTCTAGTTGTAAAAATGAAACCTTTGCCCATGCACAGACTGACTACTCTGTATCTTGTGGGAAAAGATGTAGTTTGCTGGTAGGGAGGGTCTTATCCTTCCCATTCAGATAATAGATATTTTCTTACATGTTGTGGGGCTCCAAAACATGATGCTTAGGTAAATTTCTGGCATATATTTATTACTGAAAGGAAATTCTAAGGTCCCCAGCTTATTCCCAATACAGTATTCTAAATCAAATAATTGATGTTAGGATACATTGCATCAAGGCTGCCAAGAGCATAAGGTCTTCTGTATGTTTTAGTGTTTGGAGCTATCTCAATAACTAGCCAAGGAAGACAGAGTTTGGTCCTTCACTCATCAAATTGTGTGTTATTTTAAAAATAAAAATACTCTTTTTTCCTTGTCCAAGACAGAAAAGGAAAGGAAAGGACATACTCATCTTAAGTGTGTCGATCCCTTTGATACAGACACCCTGAGTTCCAAATAAACTGCCCTAAATGGAGCTGTTAGCTAAAGAAATAGTAGGGGAGTATGCACAGGAGTGGGCTGGATATTTCAGCTGTCTTTCCATTATCCTCCAAATATAATATTACATCCTGAAAGATTATAGTCTAGCCCTTATGAGTATTTTATCTAAAACTTCCCTCCTGTTCAAGACTATAATGAATAACACACTCAAGAATATGTGGAAGTATTATCCCTGCTGCCAAAAGCAATACTTTTCACTACTAAGTAGTTTCCACAAAGGTTTTTACTAAATCCTTTTCCATCTTCGGTATGTAAAGGAGGGTGCTGGAGATGCAGTTCATAAAGGAATGAGCCCTATGAAGCCCATCTGTGATTGTATAAATGATCACAAGAGCCCCTTCATTAACCTTGTGCAGATACTGTGTTAAAGAATTACAGATTTTCCCATTCTGTCCCACGGCAGCAGCACAAAGGGTATGGAGGCTAGAGTTACAAAGAGGACAGAGCTTTTAGATAAATTCAGGCATAGCCCAAATCATACCATGGGTTTCCTTTCAAGCTGTGTCAGCTTATGTTTGCCCTTAAAAATAATGCTTAAGGTGAGCATTTTACCTTCCCTGGGGATTTCACCTTTCTATTATCATTTAGCAGTAAGTTTCAACACAGTTTCAGCCAGCTACATAACAACTGACCAACCTAGATATATTTCTAAAGAGCTGTGACCCTGTAGGGGATCACCTACACTTTATTAAAGGAGACACTTGTCAGAAACTCTATTCCACCTCCTCATCAATAAGTAACCATTAGTGTACAACACACAGTGGTATGTATCATGACATCAGTTTTCTATGTCCTTCTCATCATATTTCTTACCTTCTTACCTGTCACTCAAGACTGCAAAGCCTGCATGTATTTTTTGCTGACACATATCCCATTAACTGCAAAACATCTTATGAAATGCTGTTTGGTGGCACAGGGCAAAAGTAAAGCAAGCTGTAAACATGCATAGTGGATTTATAAAACAGACTGTTACAACAAATGCAGATAAAAAAGCTGAATTTTTGTGTGTGGAGACGTTTTAAGATGTTGCTGCTTGCCAAATTCAGCTGGTGTCCAATTTACAGGTAATTGGACATCAAGATTAATGGGCATGCAGATGTCAACATTGACTCCACGTTATGATGTGGAAACACCACATAATTTTTCATTCATTTCAAACCTGTCAACCTCTACATAAAACTGCAGTGACTAATAACTACTTTTCCCTGTTTGTATTAGGTAAGACATATAGAAAGCAAATCCTGAAATTTTAAAGTCATATACAAGGTGCTGCCCTATTAAAAACTTCTAATTGTGTTACTGGAATATTTTAGTGATATTCTTGACTTTTGCTTCCTTTTTAACAATTCTAGATAAGCCATTTTCTTTTATCCAGTTACCTATGAAATTAGACTTTAAAATATTATTAGCTTTTTCTTGTAGGAGTACCTCAGTTTATTATTTGTTTTATCTAGTTTCCCACTGGGGGGAGGGTTTCTATTTGTGATTCTATAAAAGCCATAAGAAATTTACCAAAGCTCACTGATCCGCAGGATATGCAGAGATTAACTCAGAAATTCAAAATAAAGGAGGAGTTCTTCACAGTGAGGGTGGTGAGGCACTGGAACAGGTTGCCCAATGAAGTGGTAAATGCTCCATCCCTGGCAGTGTTCAAGGTCAGGCTGGACAGAGCCTTGGGTGACATGGTCTAGTGTGAGGCATCCCTGCTCATGGCAGGGGGGTTGGAACTAGATGATCTTAAGGTGCTTTCCAACCCAAAGCATTCTATGATTCTACAGAAATCTTTTTCATTTGCAGGTATTTTACAGAGCATTTTAGTATTGACTACAGAACATTAGAGCTTTAGGCCTTTCTGAAGGGAAGGGCAATCCCACTGAAGCTCAAGTTCGGATGCTAATCCAGCAGTGTGGTGAATCCTAACCTTAAGCTGAATTCCTCCCTGCACACCAGGGCACGGGATCCCAGAGCACAGTCATCCTCCTGACCCAGCAGGCACAAGCACTATTACATATGCCTCAATACACAGTGGCACTGAATTGGAATTTGCACGAGTTTGGGTTCAGGAATTCAGCTGATAAAGTTGGGCTTAAATTCCCACCTGAACCATCTACTCAGCCTTTTCATGCCGCTTCGAAAAGGATCTTCAGAGAAAATTACTGTAGCTGTACCACCCAGTGCTGTAACCATATTTGAATTTTGGACAGAACTTCCTTTAATATTATGACCAGTTTGGCCTTTTTTAATTTTTTTCCAGCTGCAGATAATGTTTGGGATTTTCTTAAAGGAGCCCATGAACCATTTTTTTTTTCTCAGTTTCCAGGCAAGTTAAAGAGCCAAGGAGAATCAGTTAGGTAATGGCTATGTTTTGTCGTGACCAGGGTGCAAACCAATAGATGTAGTGTGCTGTTAAGGGAGCACTGCTGGCACTTTCCCAGTCACATCTGTAACACAAAAGACTAGCACAAAGTCAGCAGTGATTCAGCAGTCACAGTAAGCAGCTGAAACATCATCTTAGAATAAGTAAATTATTTAGGAATCAAACAAGAATCACATTCTTGCAACAGCGCATCTATAATATATAATAATTATGATGTTATACAATACAGCTTTTAAGTTTCCATTCTTTTTCATTTAACAGATTTATAAATTCATTATTAAAATTAATTAAACCAAGACCTCGAACAGAGCACTTACCAAAGAAAATCTTTGCATTAATACCTTCTAATCCTTGAATACAAGAAAGTCACAGTAATTTTTTAAAATGTAATATTTTATACTTTCTCCAATCTGAATAGATGTTTTGCTGTTGAGATAATAAACGCAACAGAACAGGCAGTTTAGCTATCCAAAAAGAATACAAAGAAGATGGAGAGCTAGGTGTTTCTGGACAATAGCAACATCAAAGTGGTGGTATCTGCTTTCCAGGATTCATCCAATAGTCTAGCACTGGAACCAAAGTTACATGGCTAAAGGAATCTATCTGGAATCAAACCTCTGAACTCTCTTCCAGGCCCAGCTGCAGAGGTTGACTGTGGTCTATA